AATAATAATAATAATAATAAATTAAATAAGAAACAAATAACCACGTGAATTAAAAAGGTCCTGGTGGTGATGTCCTGTCACGGTTTGGCAAGACGTTGGTTACGGTGGCCGAGAGGGAAGAGGGGTCGATGGGAACCCGTCTTCCTCATTTCGTACAACTGCAGGGGGACCCGCCACGACCTCGGAGGAAAGACTTGGATTTTCTTTAAATTGCCGGCGTCCAAAAATGACAATAACGATGAACGATCAATGGCCCAGTCGGGGGGGGGCGGGCACTCACGTCCTTCCCGATCAGGTCTTCCTTGTTCTCCACGAGGCCCCAGGGGGCGATGCCGATGGCGCAGACCCGGCCCCGGGACTTGGAGGAGTGGTCCTTCAGGGCGTCCCCGACGTGGCTGATGACCCCTGCGAGCAGCCGGGGGGCCGTGAGTGAGGCCCCCTGTGGACAGGTGGGGGGAGGGGGACTGGGGGGGGACCCCTTCTCCGGGCCACTCCGTCCCCTGGGGAACGGGTGGAGACATGGTGATCGTTGCCATCGAAAGAAGGTACCCGGGCTCTGGCGGCCTGGCTCAGTGGTTGAGCCTTGACCTGTGAACCAGGAGGTCACGGTTCCATCCCCGGTCAGGGCACAGGCCCGGGTTGTGGGTTCGATCCCCAGTAAGGGGGCGTGCAGGAGGCAGCCCATCAGTGATTCTCTCTCATCATTGTTTCTCTCTCTCTCTCTCTCCCTCCCCTCTGCAATCAATTATATATATATTTCTTTTTAATCTTCACCCGAAGACATTTTTCCATTGATTTTTTAGGGAGAGTGGAAGAGAGAGAAAAAGACAGAGAGCAACATCGATGTGAGAGAAACACATCAATGGGTTGCCTCCTGCACACGCCCCGACCAGGGCCTGAGCTGGGGAGGAGCCTGCAGCCGAGGTACGTGCCCTTGACCAGAATCGAACCCGGGACCCTTCCGTCCACCGTCCGACGCTCTATCCACTGAGCCAAATCGGCTCAGGCAATAAAAATATTTTTTTTCCTTTCTTAAAAATATATTTTTAGAAACGAAAACCCAAAAGTGATCTCGGGGTGCCACACACGTGGCTTTTCCTTCCGGGGAAGCTCTCGGGGGCCAGGAGCCCCGGGCCTGTGTGTCTGCAGCCGGGAGAGGCCGGCGCTCACCCGTGCTGACGCCCCCCGTGAAGATCCAGGCGCCCGTGGTCACGGCGGCCTTGACCAGGCCCTTGCCGAACACCTGCTTCAGCTTGGGCTGCATCTGGAAGCTCTGGAGGCCGCCGTGCACGGAGATGAGGAGCTTGGGGAGTTCCAGCTGCCAGTCCTTCACCATCAGGTGCAGCAGCGCGTCCGGCTTGGTGTCGTAGGACACGCGGATGTACTGCAAGAGAGAGTGTGGCGCTGAGCGTGCGTCCCCGGGGCCGGGGGCCGGGGGCCGGGCCGGGACTGTTGCTCCTGTCCAAGCAGGAGCCCTCCTGCCCTGCCGGCGTGGCTCAGTGGCTGAGCGTCGACCTAGGAACCAGGAGGTCAGGGTTCGATTTCCGGTCAGGGCACATCCCGGGTTGCGGGCTGGATCCCCAGTGTGGGGCGTGCAGGAGGCAGCCGATCCATGATTCTCTCTCATTGATGTTTCTATCTCTCTCCCTCTCTCTTCCTCTCTGAAATCAATTAAAAAAAAATTTTTTTTTAATTGTCCTCTGGCTTTCTCTCCCTCAGGTTCTGTGGCCTCTACAGGAGCCCGTTGCAAAGAGACGAGAGGAAACTTTCTTTTGCGGGGCGGGGGGTGGTGGCAGTGGGGGTTGCCAGATTGAGCAAGTAAACTACAGGACGTATGTAAACTACAAGTAAACGACACTTGAATTTGATATGAGCAACAGAAACTGTTTCAGGGCCCTGGCTGGTGTGGCTCAGCGGATAGAGCGTTGGTCTGTGAACCAAAGGGTCTGGGGTTCGATTCCCGGTCGAGGGCATGCACCTCGGTTGCAGGCTCAATCCTTGTGCGGGAGGCGACCAGTCAATGTGTCTCCCTCACATCGATGCTTCTCTCCCTCTCTCTTCCTCTCTCTCTCTCTCTCTCTCTCAAAAAAAAAAAATCCATTAAATAAGTAGAACCACAAATTAATGTCTCTCTAAAATAAATAGTATTTTTTAAATCTCATGGCTAAAATGCTGAGCATGCAGATATATTTCTTTTTATAGAAATACGTCTTTATTGATTTCAGAGAGGAAGGGAGAGGGAGAGAGGGATAGAAACATCCATGAGGAGAGAGAATCATGGATCGGCTGCCTCCTGCACGCCCCCCACTGGGGATCAAACCCGCAACCCAGGCCTGTGCCCTGACCGGGAATCGAACCGTGACCTCCTGGTTCCTAGGTCGGCGCTCAGCCCCTGAGCCACGCCGGCCGGGCACAGGTGTATTCCTTGTCTTTGCCAGGAACCATCCTGGAGGATTGAGCGATGCCCCTGAAAGAAGACCCAGGTGCCCAGGTCTGGGGGTCGGGGGGGCTGGGCCTCTGACGGGGGCTGTGGGCCGGGTGACGGCCCTGCCTCAGGCCCCTCTCACCATGGCTTTGTTGCAGTATCCGCCGCCCTGGAACTCCAGCGTCCCGTAGGCGTCGGTCGGGTAGCCCTGGGTGTGTCTGCCCACAGACCATTTCTCCGGCGGCGTCTCCAGCTCTTTGCTCTCCTCCCCATTTTTGCCGGATGTTATGCTGGGCAGAGGCGGGATATGCAGGGCGATGAGCTGGCCACAGCAACACCTGAGAACAAAGGCAAAAACAGTCTTCTCCCTCCCCCTCTCTCTCTCTCTCTTTTAAAATATCCTTTATAATAAAGGCCTAATATGCTAAGTGACCGACCGTCGACCAGTCGCTATGATGCACACTGACCACCAGGGGGAAGACGCTCGGACCTGCAGGTTAGCTTCTCGCTGGGGTCTGGCCGATTGGGACCAGGCAAGACGGGCCGGACTCGCCCTGGAGCCCTCCCGCAGCCCCTCCCCGGCCTCTGAAATATTTCCTCTAATTAATTCCCTTTCAATGTGCACGAATCCATGCACCGGGCCTCTAGTGTTTTTATGGATTTCGAAGGAAGGAAGGGAGAGGGAGAGAGAGAGAGAGAAACATCCGTGATGAGAGAGAGTCGTGGGCTGGCTGCCTGCTGCACACCCACCCTGGTTTTCATTCTGGCTTTGGTCCGAGGAGGCCCTTAGCCGCTGTCTGTGCAGGGCGACTGCAGGGCTGCCCTAGAGGTTCCATCGAGGAGGCCCAGGCGCCCCTGAGGTTAAGGAGGGACGTTGAGGTGCAGCAACACGAAGACGGGATCCCCGGCCTCACCTTGTGATGGTGTTTCCTGCCTTAGAGGGGAAGGTAGGACTCGCACCCCGGCGGCAGGTTCTGTCGGGGCCCAGTCGGGGCAGGTGTGGGAGGCAACTAATCCATGTGTCGCTCTCACATCGATGTTTCTCTCTCTCTCTCTCTCTCTCTCTCTTTCTGTCCCCCTCCCCCTTTCACTCTGTCTGGAAATCAATGGAAAGAAATATCCCCGGGGGGAGGATCAAAATAAAACGAAAGAAGAGTTTCGGGCAACCGGGGGCCCGGGCGGGTCTGGACCGTGGCTTCCCTGCGGCTCCCAGGTTACCTGCTGGGGTCCTTGGTGCTGGGCACGACGAAGACACACTCCCGCCGGCAGAAGGTCTTCTCGATCCACGCCTTCTGCCCCTGGGCGACAAGGAGGGGGGCGTGAGGCCCGGGTCTCCCCCAGCCACCCTCAGCGTCCCTGCTTCCCCCTTCTGTGAAAATCACCCGCCCGCCCTTCGCAGGACGGCCGCCCCAAAACATCCGAGTCCACCCGGCCGGTATAGCTCAGCGGGCAGAGCGTCGGCCTGCGGACCGAAAGGGTCCCGGGTTCGATTCCTGGTCAGGGCACATGCCTGGCTGCGGGCTCGGTCCCCAGTGTGGGGCGTGCGGGGCCATCTCATCCACGATGCTCTCTCATCATGGGTGTTTCTCTCTCTCTCCCCCTCTCCCTCCCTGTGTAACCAATACAAACGTATCTGAAAAGCAAAGAAAGAAAAGAGAAAGCGGCCGAGAGCTGGGCCCCGTGAGGCGGAGGACAGGGCTGCGGGACAAAGGCCGGGCCGTGGAGGACAGACGCGTGTCCGTCCGTGAGGGGCCTCGCCAGGCTGGGCAGGGACGTCGGAGGGCCCTGGCTGAAAGAACTGAGGCTGCCCGATCTTTTTTCTTTCTTTTTCTCTTATTTTTTTTTTTTCATGAAGAGACGGAAAAAAAAAAAAAATCTGCTGCAAACATGACCGATTAACGTTGGTGCGATCTGGGCGGTGGGCGCCCACATGCTTACTGTCTGGTTACTCTCTGGGCTTCTTTTGTTAAATATGTTGTGATTGATTTCAGAGAGGAAGAGAGAAGGAGAGAGAGAGACATTACTGATGAGAGAGAATCATTGCAACCCGGGCATGTGCCCCGACCGGGTGTGGAACCGCGACCTCCTGGTTCGTAGGTCAACGCTCAACCACTGAGCCACCCGGCCGGGCGGCTTTTCTGTGGATTCTGATGGCAGGAGACAGCCAGCGTGGAGCCCGGGGAGGCGTCCCGTGGACAGGAGTCAGGGGGGTTTGACATTCTGGACCATGTCCCCACGGGTGGGGGCGGCCCTACAAGGAGGGGTGGGGGAGGGCAGGGAAGGCTGGGGCCGGGGTGGGGTGGCAGG